ATGTGGTGGAGAGATGCCATTGTCCTGGAGAACACCAAGGGTCAAGAAACGTGTTTCCCAGTACCCCCACCATTGGGGCTTGAACCCAAGGGGTTAAATCAGACTCCCGGGGGGGGGTGTGATTCCAAAAACGTCCATCATCCATCTTGGCCACTTTGAGAAACAGGGGCACCCCCTGCTTCATGCGGACACAGTGTCACCAAAACAAGCCACAATGGCAGGGGTGAGACACATAGTCACAGGGGTCTCCCGGAGGCCTGGGCCGCCCTACAGCAGGCGCCAGATTCCCCACACCTACCCAATGGGAAGACTGGGATGGCTCGCCCCACCCAGACTGAGAGACAGACACACGGGGAGGGGTGAGAGACACATGCAAGGGCCCACCTGCCCTCCCACCACGGCCCTGCTGCATCCGTGTGATATCCCAGCTCTCCTGCCCTCGGCTGCTGGCCGGCTCTCTGCCTGACCCTGGGTATAAATATCTCCCACTTCACCCTGGAGGAATTTGCCTCACACAGGCCACCATGGCAACAGCCTTCCTTCCCCCACTGGGGGGTCATTCCCAACCCTGCCAGGGTGAGGCCGGGCTGCCACACGGCTACAGGCTGCCCCTGTGGGGAAGGCCACCCCTTCTCTCCTTCTGGAAATGATGAGAACAGGGGAAAACATCCCTGTCTGCCTGCCTCTGTGTGACTTTCATAGGCAGACACCAGGCGAGTCGCATGAGGCCCAGACCAGCCAGGCTGAGAGACAGAAGACAGATGCCAGGGGCAGGGACACACACACACACACACACACACACACGCAAGCACACGAGCACACGCAGTGACAACGCCCACTCCCCAAACCTCTGGTTGGAGCAAGATGTGGGGTGGAGACAGTCACGAATACGATACTCCTCATCTGAGCCTCCCGTGCTCCCAAACAGTGACGCAATCTGACCCACACACGTGAGTGTCCCAAACCCACCCCAAGCAGGGTGCACGCTCTGCAGCAGGGGAGGGAGGAGTTGCGCCCCGCACTCCCGCTCCCGGGGAACCCCACTGTCCCCACCACGCTCCCTTCCTCTTGGGTCAGGCCCGCCTGGAAAGCCACGGGCTTGGCCACTCCTGCTCCCAAAATAGGTGGCCCAGCCAGGCGAGGGGTGAGGCCCGGAGGGGAGGGCAGGGGACGCTCACCCCAGTCAGGCTGTCCCCTGCTGAAAGAAGGCCCCCAAACGTCCGGCTGTGCCGGGGGTGAGCACTTTGGACCCCCTGGCCCAGAGCTGGACTGCGCCGCCCTCAGCGGTCTCCCCTCCCGGCCCCACCCCACCCTCACCCTCCCCAACCAGCAGCTGTAACTGGAGCCCGGGCTGGAGGGGGGCCAGGGGGCGGCCCCCAGCCCAGACCGCCCTGGCCCGCTAGGTTAACTCTCTCGGCTCAGATGGAGGAACACTACCGGCGCTGGGGACAGCTGGGGAGAGGAGGTGTCGGCAGGGAGGCCTGGACTGCAGACACACGCACGCACGCACGCATGCTCGCCCCAGCGCCCCGGACAGCTTCTGCCCTGCAGTGGGAGGTGTCAGTGACTTTCTGTGAGGCCCCCTGGGAGTCGGGCCCAGTTGGGACCTAAGGCCATTTGAGCCCTTAGGAGCCCGCTGACCCCTGACCCCAGGGTTCTGTGGAGACCTGGTCAGCGCCACAGGGCTATTTTGGGGGCATTTCAGTGTGTGTGTGTGTGTGTGTGTGTGTGCGCGTGTGTTTTCCGCTGCTGGCTGTGAGGTCCCCCAGGGGTGCACACCACGCACATTCACACGCACACACAGAAACCTAAAGACCCCATTTATCTGGGCACAAAAGCAAACAAATACATACAAACACAGACGCAGACACACAGAGAATAACACACCCGCGGGGAAACCCAAGGACCCTCCCGCACAGCCCACAACACCACCAGCCACACAACCCTGACAGACACACTTGTGGACACATGCAACGCGCACACACACACAAATGCACGAATGCACAAACAGGACATAGCTGGCCACTCGGGCACAGACGGACACGCTTATGCACTTGTGTTCGCGTACTTGGAGACACCACCCGCTGTGTGCTGATGGGCTGAACCCCCACTCTCCTGATCTCACGTGGCCCGGAGGACTCCCCGGAGAACAACACGCACGGTGTCCTCCTCATGGGCGGGCCAGCTTCACAGGCACTGGTGACGGAGAAACCCGGGATCAGCTCTGAGCTCTGCCACTCCTGGCTGTGTGACCTTGAGCGGCCCATGGGACCCCTCTGTGTCGTCTCTGCCCTATAAAATGGAGGAATCGCTAAGGTCGTACGGATAACGCCGGGCCAGGCTCGGAGGCCTCTGAAGCCCACACTGTCTTGTCATTAACTCCATTTTAGAGATGAGCAAACCGAGGTTTAGCAAGGTGGAGCTGATTCTGCTGAGGTCCCTGGTGCTTATGGACAGAAACGGCCCCCGGCCTGGAAGAGTTAGACACGGGCCCAGACTCCGTAAGACACCAGAGCCAGGAGCCAGTGAACATGCTTATCCGCAGGGCACAGACACAGCCCGCCTCAGAGGACCCAGGGGGCTTTGCGACACCCCCTCGCCCCTGTATGTCTGAGCCTCTGCCCCTCATGGCCTTGCACCCTGGGGTCACCAGCAGTCTCTGGTTAATGATAACCCTGATGTTTATGCAGCCCTGGGGAAGGCTGACAGAGGAGCAGAGAAGTGAAGCAGGGCTGGGAGCACCGAGCCAGCTCCAGCCAGTCCTTGGCTTCCCTCCCTCTCGAGGCCAACTGCTCCAGAGAGGAGCAGCTCAGCCACTTTCTAGCTGCGTGATGTTGGGCCCGTGACTTAACCTCTCTGAGGCTCAGTGTCTCCTTCTGTAAAATGGGGATAAAACAGTAGTCACCTCAGAGGGAAGTTAGGAGGACCGTCGGAAACGATCCGTGGAAAACATTTAGAACAAAGCCCGGCAGTCAGTGACACACACCCGTTAGGTATTGTCACTGTCGCCATTGTCATTCCCCTCGTGAGCCGCAGCGAGAACCCTGGTGGCTGAGTGCTCTGTGAGTATGGATTTAGGCGTGTCTGCGTCCCCTCTGTGTCCCTGGCATGAAGTTCTTTATCTTTTCAAAGACCCCGTAAAGAAGTGTATCATCCCTACTGTACAACTGAGGCAACCGAGACCTGAAGGGCCTGGTTCAAATCACAGAGCCGTTTGGGTCCAGGACAAGCACTTGGGTCCGGAGTCCACACCCAGGCCTGCCGACCACGGCGGGGCGCCTACCCTGCGCTGACCCACGAGCGGGGGCCACGGCCTCCTTCATCTCACGGAGTGCTCTGCACACCTGGGGAGTGGGTGCCACCGACTGCCCCCCTCGACAGATGGGAAAACTGAGGGTCAGGGAGGTCAAACGACTCGCCTGAGCCCACGCAGAACCGAGCCCGTGGTCCTTGCTGAGCTGGTGCCGGTGAGCCCCCTGTCCTCCACGTCTTCCAGGCGTGTGCAGCCGTAGCCAGAGATGCCGTGTGTTTCCCTGAGGGGTGGGAGGACAGAGGTTAGGTTTAGATCTGTCCAGTGCCATGAAGCGAATCACTTAATCACTTCCTGCCTCGGTTTTCCCACCTGCAAAGTGGGGATCCCATCTCACAGGGCTGTTGTGAGAACTGAGTAAATTCATGTTAAGTCAGGCAGACGGTAAGTGCTCAATGATTATTGTTACTAGTCTTTCAGGTTGGGGAACACGTGTCATTTATTTCTGGATTTTGCTTATTTAATGCTAAAAGCGGAGTCCAAATGAAAACAACCAGTGTTCATGAGTTCTGGTCTCCCAAGAAAGAACACAAAAATCACGAGACAGGCCCTGGAGCCGGCTGCCAGGGCTTGAGTGCTGGCTCAGCCCCAGTCAGCAACCCAAATCGCAAATTACTTGACCTCTCTCCTCAGCGTTTGTGCCTGTAAAATAGCCATTTAATAGGGTCAACCTTAGAGAGCTGTTAGCACGAGCTAGTAAACTTTTAGGACAGGGCCTAGTGCAGAGCCAACGCTGAGGGAGGGGGGTGGCACCATCACCATCATTGTTTGCTTGCATTGGTTCCTTATCCACGGCGGGTGGTGGGCACTCAAGGGGTTAATTTCAGGCTGGCCTGGAGGCTGTGGGTTTGGGGCAGGGCAGCGGCCCTGCCCTGTTTGGCCACCAGAGGGAGCAGCTGGGCCTTGGTGACCGCGCACATCACACCCTCCGGGAGCCAGGGGAGGGGGCTGGCTGGGCGTGGCCAGGATGGCTCCAGCCCCCAGCTGTCTCTTCTCCCACCCCCTCCGCTTGCAGAGCCATCCGGTCCCCACCCGGGTGACATCCTCCTTACACTCCCTGAGTGGGGTGGAGTGGGAAATCTGGGGAGGGGGCTGGCTGAGAGTGGTCAGCTCCAGCCCTTTGTGGCCCCTCCCCTCCCATGGGGCCATCCAGTCCCTTCCTTAGGGCTGCTCTTCCTATGGCCTCTGACCCCCTCCTCCTTCTTACGCTGCTTTGCTGGGCGCACCCGGTGCCCAGTGAGTCCCTTTCCCAAACCTCCAAGGAGAAGGGGCGTGGGAGGAGGGGAAGAACGGGGAACTGGAAAGGGGGGTGAGAAATAAAGATAACAGACAGAGAGAGACACACACACACAGGCCAACAGGCAGACAGAGACTCAGAGAGAGAAACAGAGATAGAGAGACAGACGGAAATAAAGAGAGAGAGTGGAAAACAGGCTAACTCCCTGAGTCAGAAATACAAAAAGGGACAGAGACAGACAGACAGGGAAAAAGAAGTAAACAGAAAATCAGACACCAAACGGATAGGGGAAGAAAGACAGGCTGAAAGAGAGACGGAGGAAGGAGAGCGAAGCCAGGACGGGGCGTGCCAGCTGGAGGAATGGACGGTCGCCTGGCATGGGACGTGTAGTGGCCCCAGCCCACAGAGCTGGGTGGGCAGAGAGGAGCCGGGGCGCAGCGGGGGTGAGGGGGGATGGGAGGGGCAGGCGTTGTGCTGCTGCTGCTGCTGGCCGGAGCGGGCGCCGGGGTGGCCTGGAGACCACCAAAGGGAAAGTGCCCTCCGAGCTGCTCCTGCTCCAAGGATAGTGCCCTGTGTGAGGGCTCTCCAGACCTGCCCGAGAGCTTCTCCCCGACCCTTCTGTCACTGTGAGTGTCACCGCGAGGGTGAGGATGGGAGTCCTGGGGCCCCAGGGCTTGGGGGCAGGGGGCCGGGCCCCCGAGGACATGGCCCTTCAGGATCTTGGGAGGTGGGCAGCAAAGGATGTTGGGATGCCTCACAGGGGGCTGCTGGGATTGGGACAGGAGCGGAAGGGCAATCCCGAAGCACAGGGGCAGCATTTGGGGCCCCAGAAGGGGGACAGCCGGAGGGAGGACTGAATGTTGCCAGGATCCTCGCCAAGTGAGGAGGGCAAATGCCTGTGTCCCTGGGATGTAAAGGAAATACATCCAGGGTTGGGGTGCCATGTCAGCGTCCCCCAGACAGGGGACGGCTCTGGGGCGGGGCTGGAGCCTGGGGGCGGTTTTCTCCTCACCCACCATCGCCCACGTCCCCAGCTCACTCGTTAGGACTGGAATCACCCAGCTGAAGGCCGGAAGCTTCCTGAGGGTGCCCACACTGCACCTGCTGTGAGTGGGGCCCAGCTGAGTGGACAACTAGCTCGAGGGAGTGGGTGGGTGTTCACGCAGGTGCGTGGGGGGTGGGGTGCACACATACGTGTATGTGCATGGCTGTGAAAGCACCGTGTGTGTGTGTGCGTGTGTGTGTGTGTGTGTGTGAGACAGTGCCCACCTGGGTTGAGGGTGGAGGCCGAGGTTAAAATGTCAGAGAGGGGGCAACAACTCTGCAAAAATTCTTTCTTGCTCCCTTGCCAGCCTCTTCACATCCAACTCCTTCTCTGTGATTGAGGACGATGCATTTGCAGGCCTGTCCCACCTGCAGTACCTGTGAGTGAGGCCAGGGGATGGGGGCAGGGACAGGGGCTTGGTAGAGTGTGGCTCCTAGAGTGGAGGGAGGTATAGAGGCTTACTGGCACGGGCGGGAGGGTCCGGACAAGGGTCCCTCCTCGAGGGGCAAGAGGCCTGGCGTCTTGGCAAGAAGCCTGCTCACCTCCCCTCTCTGTGCTGCAAGGTGCACAAAGGGCCTGGGGAACCCAAGACTGTTTCTGGCCCTACCCGACTTACGGGAGCCCGGGGAGCGGACAGAGAGGCCGGAGGCAAGGAGATGTTTCGAATTAACGGGAGACAACTCTGAGGCGGTGATGGTAGGGGTGGCGGGGAAGGCGGTACGACGACGCCGGCATTGGGCCGGTGTTGGCGATAACGGTGTTGAAGGCGATGCTGCGGCCGCTCGCGGGGAAGTGCCGGCACGAAGGAGGACCATGGAGTGGGGATGACGTTGGCAAAGATGGCGGACCCGATGGCGCTCGCGCCGGTGGCGATATTGATGATGGAGTCTGAGCGGTCGATGTTAGTGTTACCATTGTCGTGGGTGTTGGCCATCACATATCGGTGTTGCTATTGGCGGTGGCTGTGGGTAGGATGTCGGCGTCGGCGTCGTGTGGGCGTAAGGGCGACGTGGTAGGTACTGGGCTTGGCGGGGACGACGGAGGGGCCGGTATGTGGGAAAACTGTGGCTGTAGGGGTGCTCGTGGCGGGTAGAGAAGGGGGTGCTGGGGACAGTGGGGCCGTGGGTACCGGGAGCGCCTGTCCCAGTGCCAGTGCTTCTGGAAACGGTGGCAGTGGTGGTGATGGGGTGGCAGCGTTCGCTGTCAGGCTGTCAACGAGCACAGGTTAGGCTCCTGGCTCCTGGGATTGTAGTCTGGGACCCTGGGGAGGAGAGGTTTCCGGGGAGGCGTCGGCACATTCCAGGGGCCTAGGGCTCCCGTGGGGTGAGTTCCCCCCAAGCACGACGGGGCCACAGCAGGGAACCCAGGGCCTCCCGCTCACCATGCCTTCCCTCCACAGCTTCATCGAGGACAATGACATTGGCTCCATCTCTAAGAACGCTCTCAGAGGACTTCGCTCACTCACACACCTGTGCGTGCCCCCAAGGCCTCGCCCCTCTGCTCACCAGCCCGCCCTGACAGGCTCCCCCAGACCCCATCACCCCATCACGCGGGGCATCCAGGTAGCTGGTGACGGTTCCTCCTCTCTCTCTCCTTCCACCAGGAGCCTGGCCAGTAATAATCTCAAGACCCTCCCCAGATTCCTGTTCCGAGGCCTGGAGACCCTAACTCATGTGTGAGGCTCAAGGGGGCTGGGCGGGTCGGGGAGTTGGGGAATGTTTGAGAGGGAAGCGGATTGCTGTGCCCACTTTCGGTTGACATAACTAAGTACGGCTGCAACGGTCCTCACATATTTCCTCACTCACCTCTGGGGCCCCATCCCGAACCCTTGCCCGGGGAGGGGGCGGGGAGTGTGGCCTCCAGGGGGCAGTGGAAGCCAGGTCGCAGCCCCTCCCCGGCCTCTTGCCCCAGGGACCTCCGCGGGAACCCGATCCAGTGTGACTGCCGCGTCCTCTGGCTGCTGCAGTGGATGCCCACCGTGAATGCCAGCGTGGGGACTGGGGCCTGCGCCGGCCCCACTGCTCTGGCCCACATGCAGCTCCGCCACCTGGACCCCAAGACGTTCAAGTGCAGAGCCATAGGTGGGGGCTTTCCGGGCAGGGCGGGAGGGACAGCAGGGGTTCCAGAAGAAGGCGGGAGATCAGGGGAATGGCTGCCAGGGCTGAAGGGCTCACCTCACTCCCTGCTCTGCCGTTTCCCAGCTTGTGAGACCCTGGGCAAGCAGCATCACCTCCCTGAGCCTCAGTTTCCTCATCTGTAAAATGGAGGTAATAAACAGTGACGTAGTGAGAATTCAGTGATGTATCTGCACCTGCATCTGGTGCAGAACCTCGGATGGGAGGCCCTCCTGAATGTTCACTCTGCTGGTGTTATTAATATAAAAATGACCTTTTAAAAATACTTGCTACGATCCTTCTGCTTTCCCATAAATATATTTTGGTACCTTTACGGGTCCCGGGCACTGCAGAAGACTCAGCAGCGAGGAAGCGCAGAGGAAGCGGAGAGTGAGAACCCAGAGCGGTCAGGGCTGGGATGGGGGAAGCCGACAGAGCTGCAGACGCCCAGAGCCAGAGCGAGGGCCGGGGAGGGCTTCCTGAAGCAGTGCGTATTTGAGTTCAGATCCGAAGGCTATAGATACAGTGATCGATTATTACCATCATCTAAGTGTGAGACACGTTTTTGGTCTGTGGGACCCATAGAACCGGAGAATTTAGCTTCAGTTATCCCTCAAAGATTCACTCTGTGTCCAGCCCTGGGAGAGGCAAGGGGCACCAAGATAGGGCCCCGCCCTCAGAGCCCTGGTGGGTGAGGCATTAAATAAAACGTTGCAGAAATAAATGTATGCTACGCCTCGTGATAAACACAGGGAGTGGTGAGGGAGATTAAGTGAGGGGGGCGGTCCTACCTTCCATGGGGCATTGATTGGAGAAGGCTTTTCTGGAGAGGCGGCTTCAGATCCAGAAGAGCGCTGTAGACAGGGAGGACAGCATGTGCAATGGCCCTGAGGCAGCAGAGAGTTTGTCCTGCTTGAGGGCCACAGTCAGGCAGTGTCCCGGGGAGTGAGTGCAGGGAAGGACACAGGTGACACTGAAGGCTGCAGGGGCCTCACTGTGTACGACTTTGAAAGCCACAGAGAGCAGAGTGGCCTTTATCCTGATGGCCGTGGGAAGCCGTGGAGGGCTTGGAGCAGGGGGTGATGACAGGAAGGACGTTTTTAAGAGATCCACCTTTGGGTGGGCATCCTTGGTGGTTTCGTTCATTGCTTCGACCCTGGTACCTGGAGACAGGGCCTGGCACATAGAGTGATGTATTAGAACCTGGAGTCTACCGCCGGGCCCGTCCACCACCGCGCTGGGCGACCTTGGTGCATCACGACCAAAGCTAGGCTGCTTACCATGAATTAGAGAAGAGAGGAGGGACTGAGGTGAGCAGTCCAGGGCGTGGGACAGCCTCTGGGTGTTGTCCTGGCTTTCATGATTGAAAGTGAGTTATGGCACGTCCACGTGCCGGGTCACGGGGAGAAGGGGAAAGGGACCGAGTCCGGGACGAGCCGTTGCCAAACAAGTGAGGCGACCGTTACCCCCATCGCTTGGCTCTTTTTCCCTTGGAAACCTGGTGTGGACAGGGCCACGCCTCATCTCAGGAGGGAGGTGTCGGGGGAGTGCTGAGACAAGGTGGCCTCTACCTGGGCAGTTTTGTGCTCCAGTCCGATTTCATGGAAGGTGGCAAGGATGGATTGTGCCGGACGGTCCCGTGCCTGCCTCTCGGCCCGTTTCCTCATCTGTAAAACGGCTATGATGAAATGTCCCTCACAGGGATCTTGTGGAGTTAAATGAATCGATAAATACATTGTTCCTAAGCAGTTATTTGATGATGTCATGCAGCTTAGAAAACACAGTATGACCGTGTTGCTGTGACTTAATTCGTCTATAGATCGAAAGATTCGCTATCCGTCCCTTTGAGGTGCACACCCCTCATTTCAGAGATGTGGAAACCGAGGCTCAGCGATGAGGGCCCTCGGGGTCCCCCGTGCCTCCCTGACTCTCTCCTGCCACCCCCAGAGCTGTCCTGGTTCCAGACGGTCGGGGAGGCGGCGCTGGGCGTGGAGTCTTTCTCCTACCAGGGGGAGCCCCACATCGTCCTGGCACAGCCGTTTGCGGGCCGTTGTCTGATCCTCACCTGGGACTATAGCCTGCAGCGTTTCCGGCCCGAGGAAGAGCTGTCCGGTGAGCCCCGCCTCGCATCCTCCTGCCTGTCCCCGTAGCCTGCCCGGTGTGGGGGGGGGGG